ATCTGAATCTGCAGGGCATATTTTCTCATGTTTTAGAAGCCCAATAAAACTATCAACAATTTAAGCAGTATAAAAAATGGAAAAATTATGTGTAGGTGAGTAAAAAATGTCATTCTTTAGAGAGTGTAATGGGAGCACACAGCTTGAAGGAACTCATGGATATGGAGATATCTGCACCCTCTACAGCTTCTGTAGCTACATCCTAGGTAGAAAGAACAAAGGTGACTGTATCACTATCTATGTCCCCCAAACGGGGGGACAAGTTAAGTAGGCACTTGTAAGCAAGAAAAGTACCTCTCTGCCTACTGTCTAGGGAAGCCACCTGAGACAAGAGCTTCATCTTTCCTCCCAATACAGATGCAGCTGTTTCTCTTCATTGCATACTGGAGCAAACAGCACTTGACCTTAGAATAGCATTGTCTTTAGTATACAAACCCCATTAGCGAACCAAACCCTTAGACTACCAGTTTTCCACAATGTCTGCATCTTGTTTGGGCTCAGATTGTGCACTTAGGATTCTGAAAGTTGTGCCAAGTGCATTAGTGCTGGATAGCTATAAATTTGACAGACCAGAGGCTCTGTAACTCACAAACTCCACAGCGAGCTGGTTGGAAAAAAAACCTCTCTTTTCTCTTTCCTTTCTTATTTATGGCTTTGTTTTTCTCTGTGTTGCCCTCTCCAGGTCCCGCAAGGTAGGTCCAGGGAGAGCGGCCCCCCATAAAACATCAGCAAAGCACAAGTTGTTACTCCCTTTTCTCTCTCTCCTTCCCGTGTCTCAGAATCAATATTAATTCATTATCTCCAACACTTGCCAGATATATTTATTCCCCTCTCCCCCCTTCTCACGCAAAAACACACACAGCTTCACTCCCAATCCATTAAGGCACTTGATTTATGTGTCCCGTGGATGGTTAACAAATAATATTGTTATATAAATATATGTTATAAACAATAACAGCGTACAGTATCTAAAGTATCTGCATTTATATAGGGCTGTGTGTCAGGTATCTAGAGGTCGGCCTGGGTGTGAGTAATGAAAGTTTCAGAATTGAAGGGTGTAAGAATCAAGTAATATATGGAGGTATAAATATAGGTGTAAGCACTTAGAGGGTCATAAAAGGTATACATTAAATATATAAATCTACGTGCACTTAGACGGACAATATGTCAGCTGTTTGCTGATGCAAGGCACTTATTGTGTCAGATGTAACAGGTTTGTCAATAGGAGTTTTTAATTAACGTAAAAAACACTTGAAACCTCCAGACGGAGTGACAGACGGAGGACTGACGGGAAGTGAGTTTTGGCTCAAGGAATATAAGGAAGGAGCTACATTTACATTCTGCGCACTGCGATTCCTTATACATTCCTTTATTGTCATTACAATAATGCGAGGTCACAGGAAAAGAAATGTGACAGTTCACCTGTTACATCTAAATACCTTTCTGTGATCAAAACACTTTGAGGCACTACATATATGTGCCCTGGCTGTTTAGGGAAATGTATAGATCTGTAGGGTTTCATAATATGTAAGTGCTTTAGAAATCAGGCTTTGAGAATACAGCTTAGCCATAGGAAGTTTACTTTCACCTCTTGGGGACGTGATCTGCTTTCTGCTGGTGATTCATGAGGACAGGCTGAAAGCAGGCTGCAGTGACATCGCAAATTAAACATGACACACGCATGTCACTGAGCTACTCCACACGAACATACACTTATCCAAAACATGGCTGCATCTTTGCTTACAGGAAACACTTAACCCCTCTGATGCAAGGACCCAGAAGAGCAATATTTAGCCTTTTGCCTGCCAAAATCCTGATAGGCGAGCAACACAGCCTAGATCCGGGCTGCCTTCCATGTGATAAGCGAAGGGAGGGGAAGGTTTATTTAGCTAGAAGAGAAGCAGAGTTCAGTTCTAAATATTTGATGTTTTAGGATCGTTAAGCATAATTAAATACACTGATGTTAATGCCGTCCGCTCAGTGGAAGTGACAGGCGATAACTGCTGCATTTTATGAGTCCATTGGGGAGGCCTCACATACTTCCCCTCTACCTCTTTTCTTCAGCAATATTTGACTCTGTACGAGAAAGGACAGACAAATGGATAACGTTGCAAATATGCTTCCATTGATGTGCTATATCATCCTATGAGCTAGGGACAAAATAAAGCTCCTAAGGATGATGAAATATATAACACTACACACATAAAAATACTGTCCCCCATACCATCTTGTCTTGATTTGTATTGTAACTGTAATGTCTTCCTTATATTATAAAGCACTGCACAAACTGTTAGTGCTATATAAATCCTGTATAATAATAATAATAATATCTCTATAAGGGATCAGCAAAATATAGTAATGTATTAAAGGTAGCTGTTCCATTTTAACTGCTTACAGTACTAAACCATGGGCCTAATTTACTAATGCTCCTAATAATGATTGCATGCTTAAAGTGAACACAAGTTCTCCTTCGTCAATCAGATCTTATGAATCATAAATAAGTAATGGAACCATTTTCTGTGACCTATATTAAAGACAGATGCACAGTACTGAAGTCACTTGTAGTGCCAGCAATGTTTGCTTCACAAGTGTGCTGCCAGCCTGTCATTAACATACAATACTATAATGGTGCTGCCAAACTCGCACAGTTACTCAGTAGTACAGCAGTGCTGCCAGCTTGGTACTGATTGACAACACTTTAAAACTGACATCTGTTTCACACTGCTACATGACAACAGTTGTGCCATCCCCTCAGTAATACAAGGGTAACAAACCTTTGTGATACAGAATATGTGTAGTAACCTCATATCGACCTAAAGTGTCTGCCTTCATTTGTATACGAAGAAGCAGAAACATACTATGCATTAAACAATTAATCAAGCAGTCCTGTCTTTTACTTACTGAAATAGACCACTAAATTCAGTAAACTCCCAGTTATCCGGCACCCATGGGGATTGTTGCCGGAAAACTGTAGTTTTTGGTTGCTTGAGAGTTAATAGTAACTCTCAAGCAGCAGCACCCTCCTTTCCCCGCAGCCCCATTTACCTGCCGGCTAGCTTCTGCAGCTGACAGGTGAATAGATTTCAATAGCCAGCCTGCTATTGGCTATTTAAAATTGTAATAGCCAATAGCAGGTTGGCTACTGAAGCCACGCCCACTGAGCAGAGGAGCGGCCCTGAGAGAGAAAGTTCTCCCTCAGGTCCGCTCCTTTGCTCAGTGGATGGGTGCAATAGCTTACTATTGGCTAATGCAATTTAAAATAGCCGATAGTAGGCTGGCTGTTAAAACTGCCAGAACTGCTCCCTTGCTTGTTGGTCAGGGTTTCAATAGTCAGCCTGTTATTGGCTATTTCGAATTGCAATAGTCAATAGTAGGCTTGCTATTGAAAACCCATCTACTGAGCAGAAGAGTGGACCTGAGAGAGAAAGTTCTCTCTAAGGTATGCTCCTCTACTTAGTGGGCGGGCACAATAGCCAGCCTGCTATTGGCCATTGCAATTTTAAATAGCCAATAGCAGGCTGGGTATTGAAACCCATTCACCTGTTGGCTGCAGAAGCTAGCTGGCAGGTAAACAGGGCTGCGGGGGAAGCAGGGTGCTGCTGCCTGAGAGTTACTTTTAACTCTCAAGCAACCAAAAACTACAGCTATCCAGCACTTACTGATCCCTGTGGGTGGCGGATTCAAGGTACAGTAAGTTGAGGAGATCGTTTGTTAAGCCCTGTACGGTTGGTGGATTAGTGGCAAGCCATTCTCTCATAATGTTTCTCCTGGCTGCCAAGAGTGCGATACTGATCCATTGTCTGGTGTATTTACTGTAACCCCCAGGATCTTCCCAATAATTCAACAGAATCAATAACACATCAGATGGTATCCTCCTGTCTACCTGCCTTGAGTTCTTTAAAGAAAGACTCAATGCTATCCAATAAACACAAGTTTAAAAACTACTATGCAGGTCATTATCTATCAGTTAATACAATATGCAAAGCATGAATTGAAGCAACAATCATTGTAAATGAGGTTTTCTGATGAACTGGAACATGAATTGTAATTATTGTATAACCTTATGATAATTTGGGAGAGATTGCATACAATGCAGTCCTCTGTTGTACTGTTAGACGTATTCACTAATGCAGAGGAGTATATACTATGTGGTATACAAAGCACAGTAACCATTGGCCACCACTAATCTGACCACAGTCAACTGAAATTGATATGAATTCCTGCACTTTACTTGTCATCATCACCATCATCTTTGCACTATTTACTTAATAAACCTAACAAAAAAATATAAGCAATACAAATAAAACTGTTTAGGCTTAGGGGGTTATGGAGGCAGGCTTTGTGTCCTCACTAACTATAACATGGAATCCTATGATGGCCAGTAATATATAATGTTTCCAATATATACATAGTATAAACATACAGACATTATTGTTAAGAGACCACCATATAATATTCAGCTAGTAATAATCATTTTGTGTTGAAGCATACTAAAATATCCCAAACCACAGAGCTAAATCTTGGTTTGTACTGGTATGAGAACTTGCAATACTCTGGTACTAACTGGCATTTAAATGCAGTATTTGCATAGATGCAGTATGTCCAGAGACCACACAGATATGGCACTCTAATCTGATCTGTTGTATACATTAAAACATTACCTCTAAATGGTAGCTAGGACTGTAGTGCAAGTGTTGTGCAAAATGCAAGTGAGTAAATGAGTTATAGCAAGCACAGCAAGATCTGGGATATAGAGGTTGTTAGCACATTTTTTCGGTCTTCCTTACACAGAAGCTCATGCTATAATTTATCATCAATTAAATATTAGATATTCATTATGTGCCTATACTTTGCTCTTCCTTTTCCCTTTCTTGTATTTCCCGTTATAGTGTCCATCCATTTTCTGTGCTGTGCTGGCTCTCTATATATTCCTTTTTACTCGCTTCTTCTCCCTCCCTCTTTCTCTCCTCCTCCTGTTCTCTGGCTCTTCCCTCCTCCCTCTCTCTGTGCTTTTGCTCTAATGCATTTCACACTCATGCCCTGATATTCAATACAATCTTTATTCACTATCCCGAGAGGTTGCCCTTACGAGGGTCAGGCTACCGTGTGCTGCCACTATTTCTGCTGGGGGGTATAAATGGAGGGGGGCTGATTCCGAAAGACAACTGGACCACGGAAGAAAGCTCTATTTATCTGCTGTATATATGAACATCTCCTGTCTCCAAGGGTCTCATACTGCAATGTATAGCAATGGTGAGAAAGATGCCTACTTCTCTCCTCATCTCTCTGCATTTTTTCCCATCTGACCGTTTTCAGAAGAGATATTTTGTTGTAATAGAATTTTACTATTCATCATATACCTATTGTCTAATTAATCTTATAGCTTTGTAAAACTGCTTATTAAAATTGCTTGCGCAGCTCTGTCTGAATCTATCCTATCAACCCTTTAACCCCAACATAGTTTGTATATATCTAAAATAAGCTTTTGTTAGAGTACGAAGCATTACATAACACTGTCTTGTGCCATGTACATAGCCACTGTCATTTTGCCACATCTGTTCCCTACAGAACTTCTCAGAGCATTTCTGTATATTTTCTATGTACCTCCTGTTGAATCACACCGTCTCCTACAAATACTCATTTTTCATATTGAAATTATCTTTTTACTCACTCCTATAACTTGATGTAACAGTTTGTTCAACACTTTTTTCTTTCTGCTGCTTCATTTGACCAATTGATGGACCTCATTCTACTGTACCTTTTCCCTCCTAAAGTCATCTGGGGAACATAAATACTAGGCAAGAGCATAGCACTAAACACAGGCAATATCCTACATGGGGTCCTTGTCTAGTGGGATTTAACCCTTTTTAAAGGGACATGTTTTAAATTTTTGTCTTTTTTGATGTCTCCTCACGTCTCATTTGCCCTCTCACCTCATTAAGAAACCTGCAAAGCCTAACAAGTATAAGAACGAGCCTCTCGTTATCCTTCCTTTTTTCCCACCTTTTCTTAGCACATTAGGCGCTCATATACTTATATTCCAGTTCATCTGACAATTGTACTCGTTATTACAAAGACGTTTAATTAGCCAAAAATGCTACTTGGGTTCACAGTATGCAGACAGCACTGTCTGTTCTCACTTCTTTCTCTCACTCCCTCCCTCTTTCACTCGTTCCTCGGCCTGCTTTTAGATTGTGTGTACGCCTTCAGGCTCTGTTATAGCTGCCACAGTTCTCAATTCATGCCTGGTATATGTGTGTGTATGATGTTGTGCTTTATTGTGAGAAAATGATAACTAAAAATAACTAAACTGAAAACACAACTCTCTAACAAAAATCTCTAACATCTTGGGTGCTACCGTAATCTTAGGCGACTATGCTCAGTACAGTTACTGTGTGTTAATGCGATGTGTTGTATAAATAAATGTGAAAAAAGGTTTAATGTATTTATAAGCAAGAATGAGTATAGGCAGATTTTTCATGTTGCTGATAATGCAAAAAACTCTGACGTCTTTACATAGCAATATGGAGCATATATGATCACAAATTATCTAAACACTGGAACCTTGATCTGACTGCCTGTAAATTTTTGGAATATTATTCTTTTTCGATGATGCTGTATAGATAAACTAGTGCCATGCCTTTAAACTAGTGCCTGCTGTGTGCTGTCCTCTGGATATGCGTGTCAGGTGAAAAGGTCATCCTGGCACAATCAGAAGCTCTCTTAAGGGCCCCTTAAGCTGTTTGAACAGTATTCCTATTTAACTTGTAAGGTGATTATTAGAAGAAATGCACTTTTTCTGTTTCGTATTAACATAACAGCAAAGAGACTGTACTAATGTGCGACAATAAATCCTTATTAGCAGAAGCTACTTCTCAAATGTCGGCGCATCAAGTTGTCACTGATTATTGAGAGGTTTGCCTAGTGCCAGACAAAACACAACCATCCTAAGCAATATTTTCCAACCAAGGTAATAGGACTTACAGCACTGACTCATTGATAGAGAAATGCGTAATTAGCAGATGCAATAATGTTACAGCAAACTACCTCCTTTGTGTAAACATCTTATTAGCACTTGTACAAAGGTTACGTTACGCAAGATTGTTTTACTTTATTAAAGGTGTTTCTCTCCTTTTGCCTTACAACAGGTATTAGAAGATCTTACAAATCACCATGAAAAGCTGTAGACGGCGAAATAGTAACGGTACCGTGTGCTTTTATACAAGATTATAAAATGAGGTCCTAAGTGGAGTGTGCAGTCTTCCCTACTTGCTCTTCCAGACTTGATTTATCTTCATTTTTTCCAGCAACAAAAAAAGTCTATACGCTTCATGTTCAAGTGGTTGTTTGTGGGGTAAGAAAGTTCTTCATGCCACCACCTTTTTCTGAAGAGAATAATCAACCCCCCCATTCCTTGTCCATGAAAACCTTCTGATGAAAGGTCCCTAGATCCTCTCTCTGCCTCGGTCACACAACAGTGCACTTATTCCATACCCTCAGCCCCCCTCTGCCTGTGTCTGCCATGAAGGAGGATCACTCATTACTATAAACAGGAGGAATAGGAGGGGTAGAAAAAAAAAATTTCTACAGAAAAGGAAAAAAGAAAGAGGAAGAGATGTACGAATCCAATCTGTTACGTTAGACTGTGGAATAAGCCTCCTGAGGTGCAAGAAAAGGTTCTCTCTGTGGATTGGATGCTTACTCTGGCCATGCTGTTTTGGATTTACAAATACCAGGAAAGTGTCATGGAGAATCTACTATAGACAAGAGGAGGAAATATATCCCTTCCGTTTTCTAAAAAGAGGTATGCACAAGTAGACAGTGTTGACAATATATTTTATTTCTGCCAGTTATGTTACATTGTAAAAATTGTAGTTATCCTAGAAGTAGTAGTGATTTCATTTGACCTTTCTTGGGTGAAATTAATATATCTAGATATTTTATTTATTCAGTTTTGTAATTGTATTACTGCTTAACAAAAAAAGCCCTCTGCCAAAAATAATCAGCTTGCCTCTTACATGAAAAGAAAAAAAAAAAAGAGGATGCCACAGCTCAATACAGGCTTAACGGAAGATACAATCTTGTTTGGCAAATGAAAGATTGCATACAAAAATGAACTATGTTAAAATAATTAGTGGTTTGTAAACAGAACAAAACACAAATCCACAAGAAGTGAAGAAACAAAAACATCACTGTAAATAATTCAACAAAATAACCTAATACATGGTAAAAGCACATACTTCATACATAGATTAATAAAATATTGATACAATAAAGGATTCGCATGGTTACATATAACTCTTAGCTGGCATAGATGCACCTTGCACTATATGAGCCTTGAGACACTTATGGTTTATACCCTCACTCTGTTAGCTGTTTCCTAAGTCTTTGTCTAGATACGATGCATGAGAGAGATTTGAACAATTGACGAAGCTTCCTTTTTCCCCCCTTCTGTAGGAAAAGGCAGTGGAGATCAGGACTAAAAAATAATGGGCTCTCCTAAATGTACATTGCTGAGGATGTTTGGTTTTACTTGTCTAACTTTTGCATATAATGGGATTTCAACTAGTAATGTCATAGTACAGCACTAATGTGATCCTTTCCAAACAATCATATACCTGCAGAAGTACAGTAACACAGCAGTTAAGACCAAAACAATTTTCCTAATGTATCAATATAATCTAATGTATTATCATTGAGAGGGATATTATTAAGTGTAAATAGGTGCATGGTGATTATTATGAAATGTTAGGTTACAACCAAGTCTTACACACCACAAGGGCAGCATTTCAGGCTGCGATATAAACAAAACATGTTAGGATGACATAAAACATGTCTCCAGTGTGTAGTGGCTCATTAATCTATGGTAATCTAACCATTTCCATCTGTCAGGTGTACGTGTTGGAAAGGAGGGGATCTGCCTTGGGGAAAGTAGACACAGATAACCATAAAGTGACATGACAATTCTCTTAGGGCCTAAGGCCTTTCTGATATGTTGGCAATCATCATGCTGTGAAAGATTTCTGAATGCCAACAAACAAGTTGCATTGCAGAATTAGTTTCTCCATGTTAAAAAAATCCATATTATATTATTATCCTATATCACAGTTGTAATGGACAACAAAAACAATAATTTATAATGTTCTGCAGTGGTAGAAAACCTGTAAAGAATTACCCATATGTTTTAAACCGTTAATACTTGTCTCCAGCACAGTCCCCCACAGAAACTACTCTTTGCTCCCAGTCCCCTTCTGTTTTCAGTAACAACCAGTGTAATTCAACCCGCTTCCTGTGAGCTCAGGCATCACTTCATCGCAACATCACTTCGGGGTCACCACCTTGAATTCACACTATAATATTGCAGGGAGCAGCGCTGACATCATAACATAAGCACAGCTCTGTGCAGTATATGACTGCCCACTGCCGCCACAGGGAGAAGTGGAAAAGACTGGAGGATGCCACATGTCCTGCCTAAGAATAAAGGTATGTATGAAGGTAATTAAATTATATGCAGGAGGAAGAAACTGGGCAGGGGGAAGGATTTTTTTAAAAATGGAATCCTGCCTTAACACCTGGTGTGCAGCACAGCGGATTTAAACACATACTGCTAATGAGGAGATTGCCAAGAAATTAGGTCTCTCAGTAGCCTGAGAAAAAAAATCACCCATGTAATCTAGCTCTATATCATTTTACAGCATAAGCATCATGAACTAACCAAGAGCATTACAAAATAACAATGTGTAAGCAGATAAAACAATATATAACATAAAAGTATTACATATTACAATGTAATATATTACATACAATGGGTAATGCTTATTTAATCGCCTTCTTGGCCCACTTCCCGGTATTTCAGACCAAGATCTTAGATCTCACTAAAAAATAAACAGTTACCGTATGTTTTCCTTGACATTGTAAATAAAAGTGGAATTATATACCTAGAGTAGAAGTACTCAAGAACAGCTCTACAAAGTATAAAATAGGGAAATATGTACTGTAATGTGGGGCCTACATTAGATGGTTACTGACACCATTGGATAAAGTTATAATGCCAACGTTTAGGCATGTATCCCAACAATGCCCTCTTCCAAAAGCTCTATTTTCTGACAAGTGCCAAATATGCTTGCATATAATTATTTTGTGTTTTGTTATATAGTTATTTCCAAAATAACATCAAAGCCCACACATGTCTACATGGCATTATACAATGTGGGCTAAATGCCCTTCCCTTTACCCCTTCTCTGGGTGAAAGCCAGCATCACATGAGGACCAGAAATTTAGCTACCATAAAAACAGTTATATCAGCTCATATGAATGGCAATACTGGCCATTCTTTTAAGCAGGTCCAGAGGCAGCTTTAGCCAGCCTCAATGCCACCTTCATTACATTTCAAGCTGTGGACCAATGGGCAATATAAAATAAAAAAATATTCTTAGTGAATCCTCTATACCGTCACTAAGGCAAACCCCATACTTGTCTTACCCGGAGAATACCACGGCATAAAGAACTGACTTGATTGTTATCCTCAAACAACTACCCAGCCAGTGGTACTAAAGTTGCTGAAGAAGTGCTAGTGCTGTGTATTTTTAAATGGTCTAAGCACCATAATAAACATCTATACAGTTTGGTTATTAAGATGCTGACATGATGCTGGTATGTAAAGGCCTTCCAACTGTATCAATTAAAACTAGAACGGAAGTGTTTGTGAGCACAAGTATGTTTATACTGTATATATTTATATATACTTATATTATATACATTTATATATAAAATATACCCTATAATGCCACAATTAAAATGCTACAAAAAGGTCCACAATAGTATTACATGCAATGACCCAGTTTAACAATTGATGTGCATTATTAAAATACAGGTCCAAAATTTCAATCCCTTAAGATTTGGTCCTCTGGCATTTAGAATAAATTATTTCTCTGAGATGTCATCATTTACCTTTACCTCCTTGTATTGGGGGTTCCTTTCACAAATCTATTGATAAGGATCCAACATAGGATCATGCATAATACAAAGGATAACATGAAAAGGAAATTCTCTATTATAAGCAGTCAATACAAAGGTATTATGGATATATTTATTTCTTGACCATTGATTGGCAGGAAGGGAGCATCCTTTGCAAGTTTAAAATGACATTAAAGCCAAAAAATTTCCCCTCCCCATGTAAATTTTAGCACTTACCTTAAATGATGTCTCTTATTCCGATCTTCCTCTTCTTTCCCCATGTTTTCATGTGTCCTTCCAGCGGTGCGGCGGCTCTCCGATCCAGCGCTGACTGTTCTGTCCCTCCGATCCAGCGGTGTCTGCATGCGGGTGCACGTGTCCATAGACTTACCTTGCGTCTCTGCTCGTCTCCCGGCCAAGAATCGGAACTGCGCATACGCCCGCCCCAAGATCCTTTGCGGCCATATAAACAGTTCCTGATTCTCGGCGCGGGAGCGAGCAGCGATAACGAGGTAAGTTTAAAACTAGTTAAAGTGATTTTTTGTTTTTTTTAAACTTCTTGCCTATATCTACTGCTTGCTAGCAGTAGATATAGGCAAAAAAACCGGAGGGTTTAGAACCCCTTTAATAGCCACTATGTAACTGCTAGTTCCTTTTCTACTTGCCTAACATAGAAGGTTTAGGCATAAAGGTTAAAACGGATAAGCAGTACACAGTGTAAAATGCTCTACGTCAGTAGCGGAAAGTTAGAGAGAAGACACTTAATACTGTTGTGCAATATACATGGCTAATTTTTCACAAAACATATCCCGATTAGACTTGTGCGCCGTCAAAAAATTTGTTCCGTTTCGTTCCGTAATATCCATTATTTCGTATTTCGTAATTCGTATCCGAAACTCAATTCGGATTCGTACGAAATACGTATTTTCATTAGTTTCGGCACATTTTCGTAACTTTACGAACATTCGTTATGATGAAGTTAAAAAGCAAAAATACCTTTGTTAATATTGGAGTCGATGTGGTAGTTGTTTTTTTATTCGAAATACGAATTCCGTTAACGGATTCCGTATCCGAATTTCGTATTTCGGACTTAAAAAAAAACTACCATCAACTCCAATATAAATGTACTTTGCTTTTTAACTTCAATATATAACGAATGTTCGTAACGGAACGAAAATACGTCCATGGAATTTCGTATTTCCTGCCTGTATTTGTAATGCAACTCTCAGCAGCAGAAGAGAACCTCTGATTGGTCAACCAAAACAAAATACGAATTCCGTTACGGTCTGCTTTAAGTGTTTTTCTAAGTTTTTTCTAAGGTGCAGGTCAAGTATGTGTCTA